ATGTACAGTCAGTGATATTGATTGATTAATGTATAAAAGCACCAGATCCATTTGCTCCTATGAAAGAGAATAAAGTGCAGTCGACTCTCTCTTTATTTTCACCTCATCCTTTTGTTTGAAGGACATTTTTCCCCCCTTCTTTTTGTTTCGCCGGCTAGGTTTAAGGGGGTTACAAAAAGCCAGTTTCTGCCAAGTAATGTGTTCACAAAGGGAACATTGATTCACATCAGTGTCGCTTGAATTACCCTTAAAGGTTTGCCAAGGAGTTGCTCTTATATTAACCTTCTGTTCATGAAGGAAGAAATAAATAAATAAGTCATAAAGTCAAACCCGTTGCTTTGCATTTTAGTTTTGGACTTGATCTAAAATAATTTCTTCCGTGGCTGATTGTGGTGAAAGGCATGATGCGGAAAGTCCCCCGTGAGCTTTTTGGGGTACAGGGTGGGGGCACCAAGGAAAGCGAGCCCACCTCCTGCCGCCTAGCCCCTCCTGGGCACCAGATCATGGAGCAGCCGCTGAATTTACTTCCAGAGAAGAGATTAGTTCTGATTGGCTGCTTCGCATTCAGGCTGAGGCGCGTTGGTCCCCTTTCCTTGCTCTCTTAGGCAATTCACACAATCAGGTGGTGGAAACAGCAAGAAAAACCTTCCTTTGTCTGGAAGATGAAGGATGCTGGTAAGGGAAGGCAGCTCTGCTTTTCAGCTCCTATGGAATGAATTAGGCGTCGAGTCTTCAGAGACATCCTCACATTTCCCAGTTTGTTTATAGAACTTGAAGGGCAATAGCCTGAATTGGGGGGGGGGGAGAACTCCTGCTTTTGTTTTTTCTCTTAAACCTCAAATTCACTTTGTTTCGTTGTTGTTTTAATTTTTTCCCCATTATCCAGGTGGTCTAAAGAGCTTCCTAGTCTTGAAAAACCAAAATGGTGTTGGTCTACAAAACCTAAAGCATACTGTATTGATGACCCCGTAATTTGGTGAGCCTTGGGTAGTATATGGGATAGAGCATTTTGCCAATTAATGAGCTGTTCCTAAGTTTTCTTTCAGTGACTTGATTAGAAATGCCTAGGAAGATAGCCCAGTGCTGGGCAGGTAGGACGCTGTCAGCATTAGCTGTCTGGCCATCTTAGACTTCTTCAGCATTTGACACGGCCATTTTCAGAGTAGGAAGCACGTTAACACAGTGTTTGAAGCCGCCTGAGAAGCCAGGGGAATGTGGAATTGTGGGACAGAAGGCTGCACTGAGCTCCTAGGGAGGTGCAGTCTGAAGTATCGCCTGCAGGTGTCAGTGTGGAGTTTTCTGTATTGGCTGACCCCGCCGCCGTGCAATGGACTTGGGAGCCTGGAAATGAAAACTGGTCAGTCTGCCTGTCTGTTCTTCTAAGCCGGGCCCCATTCGCTTGGCGAAATCTACTTTACTGGTACCAAGCTGTTCATTCAACAGGGCCCATCAGGAGGCGGCCACCTTCTTTCTCTAAGGGCTACTGCAGATGCTGGAAGAACCAGTTTCCCATCAGTTGGCAGTTCTTGGACATGGAGAGTGTTGATGGCTGAAAGCCACAGACATGTTTTCTCTGTGCTTATTTGGAAGCATCATCATCTGTGTCTTTCTTGGGAATCTGGGCCCTTGGGTCCATGTGCACCTTTTGTCTGCAGCCACCACCCAGATGGTGTAAAAGCAGCAGGTGAAAAAGTAGGTTGCTTTTTCCCCCCCTCCTAGCGGCGGTTTTGGAGTTTGAAGATATCCAAGCTCATGTGAATCCCTCCTAGTTAAAAGGGGCCGCTCAGTGAGCGAGCTGCACCTGGCCTGTGTTTTGACAGAGAAACAGTTCTTCCATTGGGGGCACTGAACCCCCCCCCCACTGCTGCCCCCTTCCACCAGGTTTTACCTGACACTTGGAAATCACCTGTCTGTTCAGCCGAGTTAGGGCAGTGTTACCGATGCCTTATGGTCTGACCACAGTGCAGGGGCTTATGTCAGTTGCACTGGCTTCTACTTCATTCTGAAACATGGCAGGGGAACAGCAGGCAGGTAGAGTGTCTAGTTTTGTAGTTACACGTATGCTATGTCATCAGTTCCTTTCCCTTCATAACAGCCAGAGCTCAATGCTCATTGCCAAGCTAACCCCAAGACGCTGGTGAAGTGTTGGCCTATATGGGGAACCAAACTAACTTTATGTAATTGTTTAATTAAAACCTTGGTTTTCTAATTGCAGTCTAAACACAAGTGCCTTTTGTTCATGAAAGGCAACCTCTGTGCTTGTGTTCTCGTATGCAGCCTTTCTTTTCTATGTTTTCCAACTCAAAAACTGACATTTAAGTTCCCACCGTGGGGAAGGTGGCAGGCGATGTTTCTTGCCATTGGGGGAGCTGTCCCACAATTCCTTGGGCCGGCCCTCGTCAGCGTCTTATCTCACTCAGCCGCGGTTGCCTTTCTGATTTCATATTGCAGTGAATCAAATTTGTAAGCCCCCGTCACCTGCTGGAGTAATCACAAAGCCAGAGAAAGTTTCTCTGGCGTAAGCATTATTTTCCATAGTCCTAGTGTAGGAGTTGAGCTCGATATATTTTAATGTTTGCCTTTTAAAGGGGAAACCTTCCCTTGATTTCCCGATGAATCTTGGTCCCCCCCCCCCCCCCGCTCTCTCTGCCGAGGTGATAGGAGCTGGCTCACAGGATATTCTGAGAATAAATCCATTTTCTTCCCTCTGTTCTGCAGAATAAATTAGAATTTGCCTGATTTAATAAAATGGCTTCATCTCCCTGCCACGCTTCCCATCCCCGGAGTATTCCTTCTGCGGTGGCCTGCTCTTCTATAATGGATCTCAGCGCCCTATCTCCTTGTCACGGGCTGGTGGTTTCACATGTAAAGCACTCGCTCGTACTCACGCGCATATGCTGTTTCACACATACGCACGCATGTCCGCTTTGGGGGATCCTGATGGCTGAAGGTGCGGAAATTTGTCACCAGATCTCATTTTCCCCATTGTCAGGCGTTATGGCCATAACTGATGGGGAGGTTGGTGCAATTTGCCGGCCGTCTGCCATTAACCCAGCCTCCTGGAGTTGATGCGACCACAATGTAGAATATATTTTGGGGGGAAGGGGGGAGGTTGAAGATAGGGGATTGGAGCATAAATCTTCTCCCTCCGCCCTAGTCCTTTCTCTGTTTAATTGGAACGTATTTATCGCTGGGTATGGTGGAGTATTTCGCTCTCTCTCTGTTGCTCTCAGATGGACCAGTGGCAGTTTGTTGTTTGAATTTGGCATCGTTTTTCCATTTGAACCTCCCCTACCCCTTAGATTTGTGTTTTAATTTTTATTTCCCAGGTTGATTCCCCCCCCCCTTTCCATTCTGACACTAATTATGGCAGCCGCATTGGGAGTCCTCACTGCTGGGAGGTACCCAGCTAAGTGTTAAGAAGGGTTTTAAAAACAGGCTGAACTCTTTCTTAATGAGGCTCAATCGGGCTCTCCTCCGGGTGGTTTTGTTTTGCTGATCTGTCAGTTTTTCAAGGATTTAATTGCACTTTTTTCGTATTAGTCTTTGAAATTGGCCTATACAACCCTGCTATAAAATAACATTAAAAAAAAAAGGCAAAAAGTTAGTAGCGTTTGTTTTTTTTCCCCCCTTGTATTATTGTTGGAGAATTTTATTTTTTACTTTCATCTCTCCAGAGCCATCTTCTTCTAGTCCCTCTTGGGAGCGAGTGATTGTGAAAAATGCAGAATGGAAGTGACAGGAGAGGGCCATGGAGAGCCCGGATCTCCAGGCCTCACAGACAATGTCCCATTTCTTAAGCCTCCCATCTTTGGGGCTTCAGTAATGCAGCTGGGCGTATGTCTCCTCTTCCGGGTTTGCTGTTGTCCAGGGGCAGGAAGAGGCTCATCCTCACCACTGCGCTTCTTTAGGCGTGGACATGACCGATTCCATCCAGTGGTGGTGCCAGGCCAGCGAACCAGCGTCTTGAGTTCCCTAACCATGGGCGGTGAAGGCGAGAGAGGGTCCCAAAGACAGAAGGCAGAAGTTGCCAGGCAGGGGCGGGGGAGGAAGCCAGGCCGTATCCTTTATGCCATTATCTTTATGGCGTAGAAAAACATGCTTGAAGCAATCAGCATGAAATTCTTAATTGCTTCGCTTACTTCTGCTCTCCTCATGGGACAGATTGTGCAAATGCTGGAGCTGCCAAGACCCTCATGTTAGCACACTGTCCCTGCTGCACACACTATTTTTAACTAGTGCTTTGTTTTGCAAAGATGCACAAAGGTTTTTCTTTCTTTCTCTTTTTTTTTCTTCCCAAGGATGCTAATAAACAGCAGAGGCCATAAGGAGCTGCTCTAGCCACCTTGACAGTGGCCACACTTTATTAGGCTGCACGCCTGGCTTGCTCCCCCTGCCACAGTCTGCTTCCGCTCTTTGGAAGTTTTGGCTTAAAAAAAAATTTTCATTCCTTCCCCTTTGCCACAAGTTTTGGCTTAATTTCTTTTTTACGTTTGCCTCTGAATTTATCCTGTGAACAAACCAACTTCCCTTTCCACCTTACCACCGCTTCTGAATCTGCTTTGCATCCCGCTAGTCCCCTCTCTTCTGATGTGTATCTTCCTCTTTGAGATTTCCCGTCCCCTCTCCTGAGGATGTGAAATCTAAGAACCAGATTGTGGAGATTTCAAAATAAAATAAAAAGTAAACTCTGCTTAAAAAACACTTTAGCAGGAAAGCCAGGCTAATTGTAAATCAATGGGTCTTAAAATGCAGCATCGATCTCCAGTTAGAAGTTTGAAGGGGAAAGCAGTAATTACTGCACTAGGAGGTAGTTTTTCCTCTTAGTAAGTTCTGGGCAGAAAGAAGGCTCATTAGGGCAGCACTTCGGAATCTGAGTAATTAGTTTAAAAAGTACTTTTGTGGTGTTATTCCCTTAGCTAGAAATTATTGGAGTCTTCACAGATTTATAGCTCAATTCTGATAAGATTTGATTTATTATTGTGTTTGGTGTGGAAGAACCTTGATGCATAATCAGCCAGGTGAAGATTCAGGGAAGCATGGGTCAGGGTCTTGGGAACAAGAGTCTTTTCACAGTGGGCGGGGCTTCATTCTTCGGTGGTTCCTGCTGTTCGCTGATAGTACTGAACAGTGGCCAACCTAGCACCCTCACATGGCAGCCCCATTAGACACCACCGCCCCCCAAGGCCAACCTTGTCATCCCTCAGGTGAGCAAGCATACGTCTATTTAAGGAGGTGATTTTTCTTGTCCAGGTGCATGTTGACATGATGGTTCAGTGACAAGGTTGGATGTAACACAGTCATTGTATGTCACCCATGGTGAGGCTGCTGGAGGGTAAGTTTCACGAGGGGAGGACTGTGTCCTTGTCCAGTTAGATCCACAATGCCTGCAACCTAGTCGGCACAAACTCATAGACATGTGTCATGACTTGGTAAATAAATAAATGAACAGAATAGACAGCTCCTCTTTTCTGTCTTAGAGAGAGAGAGAGCTTCTAAGCTCTTGTCTTTGGGAAAAGAAAACACGCCATGGAAGCTTTCGGTCTGGTCAGATTATCAGAGCAGGGACCGCTGCCATTCTGAGCATCACCATGGCAGACGAGAAGGAAGGCGCCCTGTCTGAAAGGGACTGGGGCTTGTGCTCTTGTGGGAAGTCATCCAGGCACTGTTCTCCTCCTTTATTTTTTATTGCAAAGAAAATACACGACAGAAAACAATGCTTTTACATCAGCTATAATCTTAACACCGAGGCACAACTCCCTCCGTTTTGGCACATTATCGTCACATGCCAGGGTAGTATTCATAGGATACCAAACGTACGTAAGGGTGCTTTGTTAACGTAGAACTGTGAGTTTTTAACTTCTTACCAGAAACTTTAGGCTTTCCATGTTGCTTCTAAGAGAGGCCCTCCAAAGAGCGCACTCCACTTGAATCTAGAACTATACATTGGATGAAAACAATGGATTGTAAACTTTTATTAGTGGAGCTCTCTTTTCTGAAAAATGAAATCCAATTTGAACCTAATACGTAAATTTTTATTTTTTTTAAAAACCTTTGTAACTGTAGTTGTTTTAGGATTTGAGATTTGTAACATTTATGTATCAAAAAATGAGAACAGGGCAGAGTTGATCAACATTTTGATCAAAATTAAGCATTATGGAAGGTAGTGAAGGGGTATGGACTAAGCTTGTGCTTTGTTTATGTGTTTTGGTTTGGCTCTATTATTATACAAATCCTCATTCATGTGGAAGTGGTTCCATATGGCAAGGGTTTTGAGCAGGGTGCCTTGCAATCTCAGAAGAGTCCTCAATTAAGCAGAAATAGCAGACATTGTTTTACTCTGAGATTTACTCAAAAACGAGTAAACTTGGCTATACAACTTAATGCCCTGGCCTCTGGGGTGTTAAATTTTGGCATGCATCACATTTGAGTATGCCTTAGTATTATAGCATTTAATAATAACCAGTAACTTAATCGCCAATTTAAAATGAAATTGGAATCAAAACTTGCAGCACCCCTGCAGCATTATAGGGCTCACAGCGGGCAGTTCAGACACCAGGGTACCACGGGAACTCTACCCTAGAGGTGCACCGGGACTCGTGCCGTTGGAAGCACGGAGGGCCACTCTTGCTGGAAAAATGACATCGGCGTTGAGTGGCTGATGAAGGGCCCCTTATCTGGGGATCTCCCTGTCATCTGCATTGGGTGACCACTGCGTAGGGTGTGCCGCCTTTTGTTCCAACGCGAAGAGTGGCTTTGAGGCTGAGGAGGTCTCGGCCTCCCCTCTGACACCTTTTTCCCCTTCTCTCTGCCGCCTGTCAGACTCCACACTGACAGGGTGTCGCCTGGCTGGGGTACCTCTTTCTGGCCCCTGACTTGGTCTGTACAGGACCCGCCTCTGTCTTGTGAATATGGAAGTACTGAAGGCCTGTGTGGAAAAACGTCACTTTCTATTTATAAATGAGAGGAAATATTTCTACTGTTTATCCTAGAAGCCCCGAGTGGTGCTTTCAAACACTGAGAATTATGTCCCCGAGCCACGGCCTCACCAGCCTCCTGTGCTCTGCCACTGCTCTACCAAAAGTTGCTCTCGTCCCCACCCTCCATCCGCTTTTCACCAATTCTTGTTGCCTGTACCCTCTCTCCTTGAGTTAAATGTTTGTGCTTGCAAAGTTTATTAATAGCACTAGCACCGCTGAGTAGAATAGTGATTTTCTACCCTTTTCAACTTTATTTTTGGCATTTAGAAACAAATCTGGAATAATATTCCCAGCTGCTCCCTTTTGGGGCAAATTTTAGTTAATGCTTTTAAAGCATATCTTGGGGGTCACGCATTCCCCACATACCCCTCCAAAGCCATAAGCATGTTAGCTCATCCCCTGTGTGGTGGCATCCATGCCCTGATGTTCGCTAGTCACCGGCAGGGTCTAGCTCTGAATCCACAGTTCTGTGGACCACCCCACACCCCTAGTCCCTGAGCCTTTTCTAAAACAACCTAGTACCTAAAGACATATCTCTGCCCAGAGAAAACATTTCCCACCTGTGACTTTATAATGATGTAAGTGCCATTGAGACAGTTGATCGTAGGCATTTCAACAAGCGTTCTGCTACTTGTGTGCACCACTGGTGGCGATAGTGGGGCGGAGGCTCCTTTTCCATACCGGAGCTTGGGATTTAAGATGGGTAGGCAGTGTTTTCACACAGGGCCCGCTGGACGGAGGCCTTGAGGGAGGCGGATGCCGTGAGGCGTGTAGGTATGACTATGGATTGGGAGACTGGGGGATCCTGGGAAGGGGTCCCCAGAAGGGCAGAGGGCTGATGACTGTGGTTTGTATTTTCGGGCTGGTCCCATCGTTGCCTGGAGTAATGTCCAGGGTCCAGGCTGGAGACCACATCATTTCTATCAGTGCCTCATCTAGAAACGTCTCCTGAATCCATCGGTCCCCCGTTTGCTGTCACAGTCCCCAGGTCCCTCATACCTTCCCTTCTGGCTTATGTATCCTGATAGAGTGTAGCACTTTGGTCACCTCTAGAACACAGAAAGGCGATTTTCAAATGGAAGGGTAGGTGTGATTTGTTGTTGTTTTTTCAATAGATGAGCCCCAAGTGGCAGAGAGACCACCTGGAAGTCAGTTGAGAGCTGGGAAGTCAGTGGAGAACAGGTGGGCTTGACGTGGTTCTGTCTCCTACCCCTGAACAACCAGGGAAGTGAATGGCAGCCGCCGGCCAGGAATTGATTGCATTAATTGATATGCCAATAAGAGAGCTTGTTACATCCGCCATTGGTTAGGAGGCCAGCTAACAAGTTCGCTGATCAATGGCACCAATAAAGATTTCACCCATTAATGAGCAACATGGTAATTAATGTTATCCATAAACCAATTAGCCTGGCCAGCGAAAGTGCCCATCTGCGCAGTGAGTGGCAGCGCCGAAAGTGGGCAGGCAACCGCCCCATCCCGTGTGGAGTTGGGTCTTCAAGCAGCATCATGGAGTCTGAGAGAGCCTGGGCTCTGGAGGGTTTATTCCAGCTGGAGAAAGGAAAGAAGACATGGGGGCATGCGGAGCTCCTAGCAGAGAGCGAAGGCGAGCACAGTCTTTGCTGGAACCCCACGCTGGAGTGCAGCTGTGCCCTGCTTGCCCCCCTTACCTGCTGGCAGGGGAGTGGGGCACACTTTTCTCTTCCAACTCGTCTGGCCGCACAGCTTTCCCACGCGAGCCTCTCAGGGGCTGTTAGGGGCTGTCATGGAATGACTGAGTTCTCGGGTCACTTCAGTCCCAGCTGGGCACGCTCTCCCCAGGGACAGCCCCTTCAGTGGCTCACACGCACTGCCCCTTGCTCCTGGAGGGCGGGTCTTGGCCTCTGCTGGGAACCATGAACGACTGGTAAAGTAATTAACATCCCCCCAGTCCCTCACCCCCGGTTTTCATTAGGAAGAAAAATTTTGCTAGAAGAAAGAAGGAGAAACATGATTTGAAGCTGTGCCTTTTTCCTTCCCCCCCTGGCTTTTTGAAATGACATCAGCGGGTTGTTTGCCAAGCATAACCTGGCAGCCTGGCGGCTCTGCCTGACTGCCTGAGATTTCTGGGGACCGTGCAGCTCGCCAGCTTCAGCCGTGGCAGCGTGCCAAGGTGACGTTCTGTGACTAAGCAGAAACGAGGGAGAGGGAGAGAGGGAGGAAGAAGGTATGTGTGGTTGGGGAGCCGGGGGGGACAGTGGTCCCGGGTCTGGGTGTGGCATGGGGAGATGTGGAGGCATGTCCTGGGGCACCCATTGAGAGGGCGGGCGTCAGGGGAACGCACTGGCAGGCCACCGAGTGTCCCTGAGGCACCGGGTTAGGGGGTGCGGGGGGGGGTTGAGGGGGAGGTACAGGCTCACAGCCACAGATCCAGCCTGGGTGCAGCCACCAGAGGGGTCTGACTTAGGAGGGAACCAAATGAGCCACAGGGAAGGTGACAGCACTAAGGGCCTGGCACTACTGAGGAGGAGGCTTAGGGAAGCTTTTATCAGCATCAGGCCCATACTCCTCAGCTGAGTTTCCTTTGCATTGTTAGGTATTGACCCTCAGAGACCCCTTGTGGATTCCCTAATTGAAAATTAATACTAGATCAATGCCATGGGCAATTTGCATATTGATCATAAACAACTTTGAAGGCACCGAGTGTGCGGCAGATCAATAGGGCCCCTGAATAGGCTGCAGAGGGAGCACCTCCCGGTACAATGCACTCCGAGAAAGGTTAATGATTTGGGAAGTTCCTAACTGCTCAGCGCAGGGCCAGCCCCCACACCACACAGCATCCGCAAGAGCAATTAGTAGGGCCCGAGCCGCCTCCCTGCCCGCCTGCCCAGGAGTGCAGGGGAGGGTGCCTGTGCTGGTGTGAGGGAAGGGGCTGGCCGTGAGTTCTTACAGTTGCCTTTTTTGGTGATAGACGAAGTCTTGGGGCAGTTTATTTCTGGGAAGTGTACTGTAAAAGACAGCAGCCAACTTACGGCTCCAATAATGTTCCTGGCCCCTTCCCCAAAACACAGCTCTCCTGATGAATGGAAGGGAATGAACTGGAGCAGGATAGCGGCTCCCTCGCCCAGCCTTCTCCTCGGGCTTCGCATCACTGGACGCTCACATTGACGTTCAAGCTAAGCCACAGTGGGTTTGGCTCATGTTGTGTCCTGTTCCGTTCGGCTCCCAATTTCTGGCTTTGGCCTCCTCGCCCATCACCTACCTGCGCTGCCCTGCTTCGTGCCGCCTTGTTCCTGCTCTGGCTTTAGGTCTTTCTGGGCGGATCCTGGGTTCCCCCACAGACCCCTAGCCGGCCTGGGGGTCTCCTCCAGGTGCCCCCTTTACCTGCCCCTCTTCACTTCTTTCGTTTTCCTCAGGGCTCCTGCCTTTCTCCCTTTGTGCCCAGATCTAGCTTCTCTTATCTCCTGGCCGTAGATACAGTGTATGGACTAGTAGTGCTCTGGTTTCACCCGTTAATGGCTGACAACAAAGCTCAGAACACTTGAGGGCTCATTCTGTCTTGGAGTTCCCAGCATCCTTTGAGAAAGCTGGTCCAAGGATCAAAGGCAGCTGAAGAGATCCGTGATGCTTGTCCACCTGTACCTAGCTCGTCAGTGAAGGGTGGCGGTGCCAGCAGCAGGCGGCTGTGTGTCAGTCACTAGGGGGAGACACCTCTTACACAGTCATGAGTGGAGCAGACTTTTTCTCACAGTAGCCCTTTTAAGAAAAATAAAGCATGCCCTCCCCCCAAAAAACATACACTCTCCAAATCCATCTTGTACTAGAAAGATCTAGCATTCAAACAGCAGCCCTGCCGAGCTCTCGTAGCTTTATATGGTTATTAAATTTGCATAGTGCGTTGAAATTCATTTATGTGGAAGGCCCATAAGGTTTTGGAGAAGGGACACACAGCAGTCGGTAATGAATTTCTAGGTTGGAGCTGCAGCCCTGAGCCCCGAGCCCTTTGTCCCTTTATCCTGTCCTGGGGCTGTCCCTTCAGCTCCTCGGGGAGGTGCTTTGGACCACGATGGTCACATGGGCACTTTTGGTTTATGGGGGGGGGGTATCAAGATTGTCCAGGTGCTGCCACATGGTCTGTGGGAAAGAATGGTCAGTGCCCCTTCTCTTCTTTGCTTTTC